GGTCTGTCGCTCGCTCGCTCGCGCTCTCGGCACACACTTTCTCACAAGCCAAAATGCTCTGTGGTATAGGGTTTGCTGGCACACTTTCTCACAACCCACACTGCTCTGTGGTCATCCAAGTGCTTGCACACACCATAATACCGTCTTTTGCTCTCTTTTGACTTCCACGACACTGAGGTCCCCGCCACAGCAGGGATGCGGGCACCGTCTCTCCCAAAATGGCTGCAGTTGAACGTGTGACAAACTATATGGGTTTCCCGAACACACACACAAGCATTTCATACAAGACTTCTCGTCCAAAGGTCGCGCCGATCTGGGACACTCTTGTAGGACACTCTTGCGGGACACTCCTCCTCCTTCGTACGAAACGCTGCGAGGCTGCAAGACGAGCGTTTCGTACGAGACTTCCTCCAAAAGTCACGCGTCAAGTCTCAAAAACGAGCGTTTCGCACGACACTTCCGCATCCACACGTCTAACGCGCACAAAGTACTCCGCCTGCCACGAAATGTCAACTCCGTCACACCTCGCAACCTCACGATTTCCTGCGCCTGCCACGAAAATCGCACTTCCACACCTCAAAATCAGCACAAAGTACTGTGCCTGCCACGAAAAGTGAGAATATCATCTCACATGAGCTTCAACAAAATTTGCACCACACCACACGTTTAGAATGATTTCGACCCGTTCTGAGCACACTCCCATCCACGAAAATCGCCATTTCAGCTGAGACTTGTCACGAAAACAGAGCTTCGATGCCACACCCTGAAAAGCAAATCCCAATGGCACGGCCACATCCAACACCCCAAAAACACGACTCTCCAAACGCTAATCCCAATGGAACTGCGCAGTAAACTGCAGATCTCTCAAACCACTGCGCCTGTGCAGCGAAATGCATCACGCTTCTTGCGCGACATGTCATTTTCATGCAAATCACAATGGAATAGCGTCGCAAACTGACACGTGACACATCCATGAAAAGTCACTTGCAAAAGCTTCCCCCAATGGCAGCGCCTTAGCGTCCTACTGCGAACGGTTGCGGACGGTTGCGGACGGTTGCGGACGGTTGCGAACGGTTGCGAACGGTTGCGAACGGTTGCGGACGGTTGCGGACGGTTGCGAACACAGAAACAACGGATCGCGAACAAGACTCTACCCCCAGACCCCCAGAGTTAAACGAGAACCCTTCGCTACGCATTCGGGAAAAAACTTCAATGCCGATCAAGAAAGTGATGATCAGGGGTTCAAGAGGACAGGAGAGCTAGGAAGTCTTCAGGATCTCTTTTGAGACTTTCATCCTACGTCTTTCACTCAGAGGGGAGGATGAGCCGACGCTGCCCACGCCGACGCTGCCCACGTGGCGCATTGCTTGCGCGCCTTGCGCCTTGGAACAGATCCCATGGGACTCATTGGGACACAGGAGGAGGTGAAGACCTCTGCGAATGAGCTGCACACGGGACTCGTTTTTGTGCCCCAAAAACCCGTGCTGTTAGAGCTGCGTTTCGGCCAGAAGAGCGGCCGGTGGCTTCAGCCTGATGACGTTCATCTTCGTTTGAAGAGTTTCTGGTGCATGGGGTGTATTTATGCCAAAGAATGCAAAAGAGCTCGTAGATAAAATGTTCCTCGGGACTCTCAGCCAATTGCTGGACATCACTCTGAGGAGCCCCTTGATACCACTTGTATTGCATACACGCCCTCCTGGAACTTCACGTGGCCCAAAAGCACAACAAAACGTCACAGATGCTTCGAGCTTCAGAGATGGACGAAGCAGATCTCCAACGCGGCGGTGAGACGGCTACGGCACACGGCACAGCTTCAACGTCGCTCCACACTGAGCAGGTGGACGTGACCAGGATGGCGGTGGAATGGAGGACGAAGGGTTTGGGGACTCCACACCTTCGTTCAGTCGACCTAAGCAGTGGAAAGGAGTCGCAAGACATGGTGGAAAGGGAGTCAGATTTCGTGGTGGAAATGGGAAGGAGGCTGCACCACGGACATCATATAGCTTGCTTCATGTCTCAGATGTGGTGTTTCTCTCACCGATCTTTTCAACAAAAACAGTTTGGAAACGCTCGAAACCAGTTTCGCCCCGGACAACAGACTCCACCTCGCCCCGTTCGGGTCCTGGATGGAACACGAAAACAGACTCCATGCTGCGTTCGTAGCGTCCGATCGCGAACGGTTCGTAGCGATTGCCAGGAGCGCGCCGTTGCGTAGCGTCCTTGTTGCTATAGCTACATGGAAGAAAATTCCTCTTGGGGCTGAGAAGGAGGGTTGCAACTGTTACGTAGTACGTAGACTTACTTTTGTGGTGTGAAATAACATATCCTCCCTGGAGGTTTGCTATCAAGATTCCCACCATGAGCTTCACCCATGTTTCAACCTCTTCACACTTCACAACCTGCTCACAATTACCATACGGAATCCACGTTGTTCATTCGTGCTGCTCGACCTACTGCTCCGGTCGTCTGCGTCGAGCGGTTTCGGACGGACCCCGAGGCAGCAGAACATCCTCTGTGGACGGCCACTCGATGCCGCGCGGTACCAGGAGACCTTGAAGGCAGGGACGCGAGCCGCGGAGAGAGAGGAGGGAGGGAGGAGGGAGGAAGGAAGGGAGGGAGCAATGGGGCGATGGGAGGGAAGCATGGCCATGGCCGAAAATCAGGGCGCCGTTGTGGTGATGAGGTGGATTTTGTGAAGAACCAATGCCGTGTTTTTATATGTTTTATTGTATGATTGTACCGGCCAAATATAGTCGACACCCTCTAGTATTCCATATATAACAGATATCAGATCGAACGGAACGGTTTTCTTTGCATTTTGGACGCTCGTTGAGCTGGGGAGCTTTGGGGAAGTCCAACACAGCAAGAGTCCCATCCAAGAAGCTGTTGTGGGAGTGGAAGTCCAACTTGGACCATGTTCAAATGGTTCCAATGTTGCGTCAAATCCGGAACAAAATGGTATACGGTATAAAGGCATGTAAAGGCTCTTAAGACGATGGTGCTCAAGGTCGGGCGGGTTGGTACCCAGTGCCCAGATGCTGTCCCGCGACGCGACCCGTCTGGGACTGCCGTTCTGCCGAGAAAAGGCCGATTGGGTGGTGGTGGTTTGAGGGGTCGACCTCTGGGGCGGCAGAACGGACGAACGCAGTCCCGTCTACAGGTCGTGTCTGGGCTGGTTGAACTAACTCTGTGCGAGTTCTTCTTCTTTAGGTGGAACTGGAGATCCTCTTCTTTTGCTCCACGCTGAAATCAACGCCGTTCTCGCAGTGGAATTCATTTGCTCAACAAGCATTCCCGACCAAATGGGTGCTATTCTGCTATATAGCCTGTATGTGCCATCATACGCTGGGCTCCATTGGAGCTGTTAGACGTCTAGCATGTCCAACGGAACGGAACAACTCCGTTGAGACCCAACGAATAGACAGATGAGATCGGACATGCCACAGTCTGACGGGAACTCGGGTACATCCAGTAACATCCAATGACACAAAAATCGAATGAATGTTGAAACATCGTCGATTTCTCATGTTCCTCCGTTCCTTACTGATGTTTCAACCTCCGGTTCCATCCATGATGTTTCAATCAACATCATCCCCATTCCTTTAAGAACGTCTTCGCCACAAACCTTCTCTCCCCACACAATGACGCCATGGCCACCCTGGCGCACGACGAGCTCATCTGGGTGGCGTGCCCCGCGCGCGTGTGGCGCGCGGCGCGCGTGCTCTCCACCGGCGACGACGTCCTCTCCGTGGAGCGCCTCAGCATGGAGCGATTGTTTGTGCCACCACCGAGTCGAGTGGAAAGGGCTGAGTGGGGATGATCCGATCCATTCCGGGTGCGTGTCAACCCGTGTTCGAGGTAGGAAGGGGAAGGAAGCGAGAAGAAGGGACAAAGGATGGGAAAGGCAGAAACGTGATTCGAAGAGGGGACATACTGCCTTTGGAGGAGGGAAGACGTACTCAATGAGTCAACGGGCTTTTTTGGGGGGGGTGGTTTCCTTTTGGATTCCAACGTGAGATGCGTCAATAGGAAGGTCAGAACGATAGTTCGCACCCGAACTCGAACTCCAAAAGGTGTACGAGTACATGTAGCCACCTATTGCCATGGATTCTAGCAGCTGTACTGATGAAGGCGTGTCTAGCAGCAGTGTCAGCTCCTCGGCCCCCTTTGGGTCGGCTGAGGGCCGGGTCCAGCTGGGTGGAGGAGGGATGATGTTGAGGAGGTGTTGACCTGTGATAGGCCCAAATAGACCACCACTGTGGTGGTTTCAGATATGGTGATGTTCAACATGTGTAAACCTTCAATTGAGATGATTGATCCAGTGATTGATCCTTAATCCTGACTGATTGATCCTTATATACTGACTCATGTTTTTGGTGAATTGACATATACCAACTATATAGACCTGCATGCAAGGTTTGCTGCTCAGTGCATGTCGAAAAGGAAACGACCGTCCTGACTGTCCTGGCCAATCCCTGTGGAAGTTTGCACCCGCCTAAGGTATGAGGCAGATGATGAAGTGGAAGAAGAAGGAGCTGAGATCCCTCTGCACGGGAAATCCGCACCGAAGCTCTTACGACGCAGCTCCCTTTGGCAAATGAGGGGGGGTTCGTTTGCTGACTGACCACTTCGGAGAAGTTGCTTTGGAACGTCATGGGGTCAATGACTGGAATTCACAGAGATCCCCACAGATGATCACAGATGCACAGATCATCTACCTCGGAAAAACGGCCGCACACTACGATTGATTGGTTCTCCTGCTGTCGAGTTGTGTTTGCGGGGACTGAAAAAGAACTGCTATATATTTTATTTTTTCCGTACTCTTCATCCTGTTTGGCGTTCCGAGTATAAGCCGAAGCTATTCTCATTAGACCTCTGCAAGTGTGGACCGGAGCAAGTCCTGCTCAAACCTAGTACCTGACAAATACCAGTGGAGTCCTGGAAATCCACCAGAGCCTTTGGAGTGCGATTCTCGGAGTATCAGCAGATATAGTGCATGGACAAAAAATCCGTGGAGTCCATATCTGGTGCGAGTCCAGTGTAGTTCAAAATATGACTCACTCTCATAGTCATGGCTTGGCTTCCCTCCAGCTGCAGGCAATGCTGTCTTGGTGGGTGAGGGTGCCATGCGCTACGACAACCTGACGGAGGCCCTTTTGACCCGTCGAACATCAGACCGGAGGCAGGTAAACCCACGGTCGTTCGGAAAAGCCTGGTCCCTGGGAGTCCAGTCGAGCATGGTTTAAAATGGGATATCTTCTTTCAGATCCGAAAATGTAACTTTGCTTTACTTTGGGTGGTATACCCTAAAATAGTTCTCACTGGACTTCGGCTCGAATGCAGCGAGGCCCAACTCTTCATCCGCTTCCGCTTCGGTCGCCGGACCGTGCCGTCCGCGTGGAGGTGCCGGAGCTGCACGAGGCGGCGGTGCTGCATGCGCTGGACGCTCGCTTCCGACGTGCTCAGCAGCTCGGTGTTGGAGTACGGCGGGTGGCAGGTTCCATGTTGGAGAATGAGGAGTCTCAATACCAGGACCCTCCGAACCTTGGGGTGTCCTGGCTTTCTGACTACCCCACACGAATCCGGCCGAATTCGGCTTCCAGATAGGGCACCCCGAAAACGGAGGGTCCTGGTAGGTTCCATGTTGAGCCAGGTTCCATTGGGTGAGGGCGAAGGAGTCTCTGAGTCTCTTGGGGAAATCGGTGTGCAAGATCCAGATCCACTCACCTTTTCTATGTTGGAACTCGGCCCTATGTTTTGGGGTGTTGCTGGAAACGTAAGAAAAATCCACTGTGATCCACTCCCACCTTCTTGAAATAGGCTACCAACAGCGTCTCAGTGAGTGCTTCTCGAGGTTCTCGTATTTGTGATGCGTTGCAGATTCAGCCAAATTCCAGTAATTAGCGGACCTCTTCGGCTAGATCCGTGGCACTTATGTAATTACTAACCCCTCATGTGTGCTCAGCGCAGCTGTTCATGGACAAAATGTCCATAGCTGTTGGTTCTCCATTTGCTAAAGACCTGTGACCAGGATTCCGGCCATTCGCCCCTTAGTTGTCCTCCATCCAACCCCAACCGCTCAGGATCTACACCTTCACGGGCCCCGTCTTGCTGGCGGTGAATCCCTTTCGAAGCCTCCCGCTCTACGGCCCTTTGAGCCGCAACCGAGACGGTCGGGTGAAGGGACGACGGGCGTACTCGGATGGGCACGGCACAAGTGTCCCCAGCGAGCGAAAGGCACAAGAAAAGCGAGAGGCTCGGGCACTTCGGGTGGTCTTTTCCCTATAATGATATGGTTTCATTCCCCCTAACCTGGTGGAATAAGTTGGTTCAATAAGCTGGTCCCTTCTTAAGTCCCCTAACCTGGTGGAATATGCAGGTTCCGCAAATCCAAATCCCAGGCATCCTTGAGAAGGCCGTTTCCAGGCGTTCGGGCAGGTTTCCAGTAGTTGGACGACTGTGTTTAGGGTCGTGGGCGGTTTTGGTGATCGGCTGGTGTTTGTCAACAACATGAACTGAACTCAATGACATCATCCAGCACCGAAACCCTGCCAGGTCTCCGATGGCTGGAGGTTTTTGTAGATTTTTTCAAGTCGCAGGTGGTGACCTGTTGGAAGGTCCTGGATGACATCATGAAGTTTTAGGGACATCATGGATGACCTTTTAGGGGGATCTTGAACTCCAAGAACGTTCGATTCCTTCAAGACGGACTTGTGAGAATATCATGTGACCTTTTCTGGCTCCAGCACCTCTCAAAACTACTTGGACTGCCATTTCATTTTGGGATTCGGGGTGCCCTTCCAACCACCGGACTTGGTGGAAGGTCCTGGTATATGGGATAGGCGAGTTCGTTATAGGGTCCTGACCCACCTCTGTTGCTTCTTCCACTCAGCTCTTAGGTCCCGAACAGCTCCGCTCCTTTGGCCGCGGCGGTGCCACGAGTGCTGCTCCGCACGTCTACGGCATCGCGGCGCGGGCGTTGGAAGGGATCCGCGCACGTGGCTCGAAGAAGGGGCCGGGTGGGCAACAGTTTGGAGGAAGGAGGATGAAAAGGGGATGGAGGGCATGGGGAGAGAATTGGAAGGAATCCGGGCGGAGGAAGTATAGGTTTTCCAACAGGTTTTTGTTAACATAGCATCCCTCTCATCACTGACAAAAAATAAACTCCCAAAGGATTGATTTGGTGCAGCCATGTTGTGTCACTACTGTTGTAGAGGTCATCTACCCGGCTGGAAGGTGATGTTTAGTCTAAAGATGTGTAAAGTGAAGAGCGGGGTTTACACCCTAAACTGACTGCCCAAACCATTCCCTAGCCTAGGGCTCCAGTCGTACCTTCTTCAGTCATACCTTCTGAGGAGATGCTTGGAGCCCTAGGGAGTGATACTCCTTGGACACGTGGCTGCGACGTCTCAGCGTCAGACCCTCATCTCCGCTCATCCAGACACCCACATGCTACGTCGTGCTCAACCGCCAACCATCCACCGGTACCACTAGAAGTCAAGTCGACCATTTTAAACATGGTTGGTCTGGTTTTGTAGTGAAAAACCCTTAGTGAAACAATGGTTGTTCCGGATTAAGGCTATTAAAACAATGGTGGGCCACGACTTCTAGGGGTACCCCATCTGTGGAGCGGCCCGGTGACGTCCGACCGCGGTCCGAAGGCTACGAGTCCCAGACGGTGCTCATCAGCGGCGAGAGCGGCGCCGGGAAGACGGAGACCACGAAGTTCGTGCCGCTCGGCGCGCGCGGCGGGAATCGGTCGTGCCGGGCTCGGGTTCGGGGGTGATGGTGTTGGATGTTGGGTGTGTCAGGTGAATGTGATTTCGGACCTCTCATGAGAAACCTGTGAAATTTCGGCTGATTTCGAAGGGTTGCATGTGCAAAATCGGCTGTTCGACGAAAGGATGTCCAATACACGGGTCGCAAGGGTGACCACTCCCTCGGTCCAGTCTCCTGGTCCAACCGACAAGACTCAAAGAGAGAGAGAGAGAGACAGACTTCGTGAGAGACTTAAGCTGTTTTGGTTTGACCAACTTGGATCCAACGGACCCGTAGTGTGGGCCTATAGTGGCTTTGCTTTGTCCAACAGTGCAACAGATCTCCAAATAGTAAACTGGTCATGGCAGTCCTGTCCAACACATCTCCAAAATGAGAAACTGGTGGTCTCGGACGGTCTTGGGTCCTGTTCTTCCATCATCCCTGAAGGGATTTTGAACTGAGACCGGTTCAATTCTGGGAATTCCTTTCTTGCTGGTGTTGTTCGGTTTCTGGTCAGGTCGTTGTGAGTTCAGATAGTTTTTGTAGGAGGATCTGATCTGGATGCATAACTGGAATGTTTTGCATTCATTACGTCAGCGAAACACCATTCCTGAGAAATCCCAAGAGTTTTGAGGTTCTAGTTCTAGTTCTCCGGGCTGAGTTGGACATAACTTGACTGCCTGGATGACCTCATCCTTGCCTTGGAGATCCTTTTCATGTGGCCCAAAATTTGAGGGTCTCGCACCCTCCCCACCATCTAGAAGCACATCCAGAAGCACTACTTCCAAGAATTCCAGTGGCTCCGAAACAGGGCACCCAACAAACCACCCGGAAAAAGAAAACAACCAGGACCCTCCTGGCCAGGCTGTTTGGAGACCCTAACAGCTGGTTTCTGGACACTGGACATGTCACCAGAACAGCCAGCGTGCAGATTCCGCCGTGTCTTTCGCGTCTTTCCGGGGGCGAGCGTTCGCCGGTCGGTGACCGGCCTCCGTTGGCGGAGTCAGTGAGGATGCAGTTTCTAGCGTTGGCCAGCAAGCCAGGACGGGTTGAGGGTCGGGAGATGGGGCAACCGAGGAGGCACTGGCTTCAGATGGGCCAGGAGGGCTGAAGAGCCAGGGTGAGTTCTTCTGGCTCTTCTGTTTTTTTGGTGCAGGTGTCCCTTCTTTTTGTTCTTCCCAAAGAGGTTGCAAGGATCTTCATGGTGGGTAAGGGCGCTGGCTTCCGTTGGTTGCTATAGCTTCAGTTCATCCCTGGGGGCCTCAAACTCTATTGGTAGTGTAAAGAATGTTAAGACGATGATTTCACAGTGTCTAACATGTTACTTCAACCACTGCCACCTGAATCGCACGAATGAAAAGGCAACCCCTGCTGAGCGGTTCCGTACCCAGTCAGAGGTCGGGATGAGCTTTGGGAAGACCGCGGAAGGCCGCCGTCTTGTTGTTCCAAGTGGACGCCAAAGAACACCTGCGAAGCTTCAGCGAGAGGACGAGAGAGGATACGAAGAGGCTACGAAGAGGGCTGAAATGGAGAGCGCCGTTCCGGTTCTGAAGGAGTCTTCCAAGAGAGGTTGAACAGCCTTATAGCCCATCCCATATGTACCACTACAGGGTCCTAGTTCAGGTCTCTCAACCTCTCTTGGTTCCGGTGAAGATCGTTGCAGGTAGATCACTTCCTAAGACTCTGAGAGAAGGTTCAATGGATTTCGTTTTAGTCTTGTGACCCACCACGGATGGGCACCCAAGCCATACCCAGACACGACCTGTCTGGGACTGCTATATATGCCTTCATTTCACGGCCAGGGGTGGTGCTTAACGGGGGATCAGACTCTGGGGCGGATACGAACGGACGAACGCAGTCCCGTCGACAGGTCGTGTCTGGGATATAGAACTGTGAAGGTACCCAGACGCTCCGTGAACGACGCCCGACCGGTCTCTCAAAACGCTAAGTATTGGTTCGACCCCTGACCCCTCCAGAGGATTCGGGTCCGACCCCTCCATAGGTTCGGGCCCAGGGTCGCGTCTGGGTAGATCACTTTCTTGCGACTTTGAGAGCGGCTTCAATTGATCTCGGTTTTTGAGGAGTCCCATCAGTGAGTATATGTGACAGGGGCACGCCTACGCCTACACGACCTCCGGGTCCCTCCAAATGGAGAGAACCCTAGTCCAAACTGGAGAAGAAGATCTCAAACTATCGCAAACTATCTCAAGGTTCTTTTGATCTCCAACTGCGTGGTGGCTGCTCCTCTCACCAAGCTGCTTCCCTTTCGGTTCTCCCACCGCGGGTGACCCTGCCGCCAAAGCGCCCTGGCCGTGGTCTCGCCCCCGCCGTCTCGATCGGACCCTCAGCCGTGGAGGAGAAGATCGATCCAAACGTCACGGCGGGTTGTCTCCGGTGCGGGACGTGGACGCGAGAGGACCACAAGTGGACGGACCGGGGAGGAGTCGCGGACTGTGGGGAGGAGTGGTTGATGTGTTTTCTTCTTCTCACTGGAGGGGAGTTGGGGACGTGCAGATCTACTGTATAACGTGTAGGGATATGCAGTGCATGGGTAGGAACATGTTGTAAATGAACATATCTTCTGCCGAACTTGGCTGGTCTTATAGATGAAAAAGCTGAAAGCGTTGCACCATGAAATCCCGAAGATCAAACAGGTGGGTGCCATCCACGAAACCAGGTGCTTATGTGTTTTCAGATGGGTATCACTGTGTGTAGACCAACTGCTTTGGTGCCATTGTTCCCTTCCAATGTATGTAGAAAAGCAGTTAAAGGAAGCATAATGGTCTTGGAATGACCGTTTTCCCATTGGTATATGTTTTATATTCGTTGGGCCCCCCAAAAAAAGAAGAAGAAGAGGAAAGAAAGAAAAACATAAATCCAAACCATTCCACTGGGAAACGAAAAACATATATAACAAGAACGACACAAACCAACACCTGCAGCGACATCCGACCTCCCCCAGCTGGTGGGTTTCACATGGGAACCGCTTTCCTCTTCAGGTGGAACGGCAAGTCTTGGGCTCTAACCCCTTGCTGGAGGCTCTCACCAACCGAAGGGCTGGGCGTCCTTCCGCGGGGGCCCGTGGAGAAGCATCTCACCAAGCACATAAGATTCGATCAGATTCCAGCACCCCCAGTCGGGGTGGTTGATGGACACCCCGAATCACAGCTAAGGGGCGCCCCTTAATAGACACCCCGACAGGAGGGTCCTGGTTCAGATCTAGAATTGTTAATCTAAGCCCCAGAAGTCGAACCACCATTGTTTTAATAGCCTTTACCGAACCACCATTGTTTTACTAAGGGTTTTACACTACAACAAAACCAGATCAACCATTTTTTAAATGGTCTTTGACTTCCAGGGTAAGTGATCATATATACCTACCAGAACCTCCCAAGAGGTGTCTATAGCCTCGTAAAGAGGTGATGGCGATGTGTCCACAAACCACCGGACGTCTGGAGTGGCCTCTTCGTGACGTCTTCGTGTGTCAGGCACCTGGTCCTTTGGTCCATGCATTTGGGAGTGGTGTGAATCAGTACGGAAGCCCTCGCGACGACCCGTCTGCCCCGTTGGTTGGAGAGCTCCCTATTTGAAATACACACCCATATCGGATCATAGACCCGCTTGCCAGTCAGCTTTTTCAGCATAGGTAGGTGCGGTGCATGAGCCGCTGCCTGGTGCCCGTCGACATTGGGCACTGGCATTGGGCATGGCAAAGAAGCGGATGTCCTTTGAATCATCCGTCATGCCACTAGAGGGAGCGCCAAAGAAAGGAGGTATCAAGCCTTAAAGAACGTCCCTCCCATCAGAACCCACATCCTTAGACAAGAGATCAAGCTCTTAAGATGAGCTCTGTCGGACACCTCCTCCTTGTGCCTCCCACCATCGAGAACGGCTGCATCGAGAACGTAGCTGACCGTCCCGTCGTTCGGCGCCGACGCCGCGTCCGACGAGGCCTTTGGGAATGCGCAGACCCTGCGCAACGACAACTCCTCCCGCCGCTGGGGGCCGCACGCGACGCGCGCGTGTCGCGAGACGCCCGGACCCCGCGACGCGAGAGAGAGAGAGGGGTAGAGATCGGTGGAAAGCCCACCGGATGGACAGACGGGGGATGGAAGTCCCAGTCGATGATGTACCAGCACCTTGCAACAGGTCTCCCTTGGAGGGTTGTTAGGCCCGTGCACAGGTTTCAATTGGTGACCTGTGAAGTCGGGTGCTGGTATGTGTATAGTGGTATAGTTGTTGTTTTGTTGTGTTGTTTCTTTAAGGTCGCCCGAGGTCTTCAGTGGAGTCCAAATAGAGTCGACTTGGACGACGGGGATGGACAGGGCCGGCCAGGACGGCGGACGGCACAACCGACAGATGTGGCTCGGGACGACAGATGTGGCTTTGGGGGTGCGCCACTAGTGGAGTGGCACCCAGAGTGAATATAGTAAAACCGTGAGTGTTTGACAACTCAAAAAAACCTAAACCCCCACACCGTGTTCGGTCATCATCATGGCGAATCGGTCGAGTCGAGCCGAATGCGGCTTCCATGTCCAGTCGAGTTGCGTCTTCAACGGACGGTGTGCTCGAACGTGTTTCAACGGACGGTGGTGTGCTCGATGTGGTCAGCGCCCTGGGTGCTTCAAACAAGAAGGAAACGACACGATCGGAGCCAGTGCTTCTGTTGACCATCGATGGCATTCCGGATCCAGGTGTCGCCAAAAACCTTACAGCACTCCGATCAGAGACCATGTGTGACCGACGTCGATGGTTTTGTTGAATAGAATTGTGAGGTGACAGGTGTCGCAATCAGTGAAGAAGCCAAACATGTGTTCATAGATGTCAGGCCAAGCAATTAGCTCCTGCCATGGCCACAAAAATATCAGCGCTCCAGCCAAGTGGTCAAACCCTGGTGCTTGAAGTGACGCCAGAGACAACAGGCCGTGAGCTTAAGCAGCAGATCAAGCAAGGACAGCCCTGGGACGAGCTCACTCGCAGCACTACAAGTGTTGAGGTCATTGTTGGAGACAATCACTTGCTGGCCAATGATGCAAAGGTATTGGACGCTGGAATTGCTGAAGATGATAGTGTTGTGAGTGTTGTCTTCAAACCAAACAAAATGATATGCTCCAACAAAGATGCGATCGACGCTCTCAAAGGCATCGTTGACTCCGAACTCTTGTTTGTGGTCGAAATTCCACATGGTGAAACAGAGATTTGTGAAAGTGCTTTTGCGGATTGCAGTGTTTTGGCGAGCTTAATCATCCCAGACTCAGTGACCCACATTGAGAACGATGCCTTTCGGGATTGCAGTTCTTTGGTGAACTTGACCATCCCGAATTCAGTGACCCACATTGGAGATTACGCGTTCCTGGGTTGCAGGTCTTTGGCAAACTTGAGCATCCCGAATTCAGTGACACACATCGGAGATGGTGCCTTTGGGTTTTGCATCTCCTTGAAGACCTTAACCGTCCCGCGCTCCGTCACCCACCTGGGAGAGGAGGTCTTCTTCGGTTGTTCCGAGGAGGCTTAGCCGGTCGGCTCGCCACCGACCCCCGCACGGCGCAGCGGTCCGGAGGGATCTGGGGGCCAAGCCCGGTTTGGACGGACCATGCCACCAGCGGTGGTGAACGCGTTTGGGGGTTGCCAGGCATGATGTTCGGCATGTCGGAATCCATGCCTATAGCTAGATAGGCTCTCCTTTTTTGGAGCTATGCAGCCAGCGGAAAACTGCGAATTTTGGAGAGTCTTGAAGAGATGCTTGATGTGAGAGAGTGCTAGTCTTGGGCAATCAGAAGGGAACTTTAGGCAAGCTTGGTTTGAGTTAGCAAAAGCTTGAAATTCAGACGTACTTCCAAAAGGCTTCTTTGCTGACTGGTACGACTCGTGGGGAATAAGGGAAGTTGAGCCCCCAATAGAGATTCTATTGGATCCAGCCACCCTCAGCCACCCTGCGAGTCGCACCTGCGAGTCGCACCGCACCCGTCAGTCAGCGAAGTGCGGAACGGACCGAGCCCCCCCCCCCCACCTGGGACCGCCTGGTCGCTGGCACCGCCGAAGGCGACACTCATATTGTCTTCGTCTTCGACACGCGTGTGGTGCTGAAATTTGGAGAACCATAAACGGCTTAAGTTGATTTAATGTTGTGTTCTTTTCCTGATCCAACCAGTGCTTTTATTGTGCTTAAGTTGTGTTTTAATTCCTGATCAAACGTCTTAAGTTGTGTTATTTTCCTGATCAAACAAGTGATTTGTCTATATTATATTCGATGTTCCTTGTACCAGGACCTTCCAACAGGTGGTTTTTGGACACCCCTTCACCTCCAAGAGTCTATTTACAGACACCTCTTGGAGGGTCCTTGTAAAGCACGCGGGTCTGGTGTGCTCAGTTGTTTTGGTTGCAGTTCTCCCGCAGTCCTCTTTTCGGGCTCGTGAGAGTGTCCATATCGGTGATGAATGGTCGTATTTTCCTCAAAAAAAACGTCTTTTCCCACACAGTGTGGCACGTCTTCAAACAAGAAAGAAAGGAAACGATCGGAGCCGGTGCTTCTGTTGAACATCGATCACAGACCATGTGTGACCGACGTCGATGGTTTTGTTGAATAAAATTGTGAGATGACAGGTGTCGCAATCAGTGAAGAAGCCAAACATGTGTTCATAGATGTCAGGCCAAGCAATTACAAGTTCCTTAAATCCAAACCCAAAGTGTTTGGATGTCTTTGGGCCATGGCAACAAAAATATCAGCGCTCCAGCCAAGTGGTCAAACCCTGGTGCTTGAAGTGACGCCAGAGACAACAGGCCGTGAGCTTAAGCAGCAGATCAAGCAAGGACAGCCCTGGGACGAGCTCACTCGCAGCACTACAAGTGTTGAGGTCATTGTTGGAGACAATCACTTGTTGGCCAATGATGCAAAGGTATTTTACGCTGGAATTGCTGAAGATAGTGTTGTGAGTGTTGTCTTCAAACCAAACAAAATGATATGCTCCAACACAGATGCGATCGACGCTCTCAAAGGCATCGTTGACTCAAAACACTTGTTTGTGGTCGAAATTCCACATGATGAAACAGAGATTTGTGAAAGTGCTTTTGCGGATTGCAGTGTTTTGGCGAGCTTAATCAACCCAGACTCAGTGACCCACATTCAGAACGATGCCTTTCGGGATTGCAGTTCTTTGGTGAACTTGACCATCCCGAATTCAGTGACCCACATTGGAGATTACGCGTTCCTGGGTTGCAGGTCTTTGGCAAACTTGACCATCCCGAATTCAGTGACACACATCGGAGATTCTGCCTTTGGGCATTGCATCTCCTTGAAGACCTTGACCATCCCTGACTCTGTGACCCACATCAGGGATCATGCCTTTTCTGGTTGCAGCTCTTTGGTGAACTTGAGCATGTCAAACTCAGTGACTGACATTGAGTTCGATACCTTTCGCGGTGGCAGCTCTTTGGTGAACTTGACCATCCCGAATTCAGTGACACACATTGGGAATTTTACTTTTGCTGATTGCAGCTCTTTGGTGAGCTTGACAATCCCAGACTCAGTGGCCGACATTGGCGATAGTGCCTTTCAGGGTTGCAGCTCTTTGGCATCCCAACCTCAGTGACCCACATTGGGAATGATGCTGCCTTTGTCGCCATGTCGCGGCGGTCGCGGTCGTTGGTGGCGGTCGCGAGCGACAAAGCGGCCAAAACGGGAGCTGTACCAGGAGACCCCGGAGACCGGTGGTAGGGTGTGTCACACGGAAGAAAATATAACAGAACACCAGGACCCCCCCCCACATGGCCCATCAAAAACCGGGTTTTCCCAAGCAATCAGATTGGTGTTTGTAAGTGAAAAAACTTTGTTTTTCATGGTTTGGTTCGGGCCCCTGGCACCCCTTTTAGGGTCCAAACAAACACATCTGTTGGGATCTGGTGGCAGTTGCTGTTGTCTACCTCTTCTGTAGAATTCCCACCAGTGATGCACTCCGACCGACCTTTTCTACGACCCCCGGCCTTCCCAAAACCAGCTTCCAAGAACCCCGAAGCGCGACCACCTGGGCACCGAGCGCGTCGCGCGTCCGCGCGGCGTCGGCGTCACGCCCACGGGAGAGCGGCGGCCACGGTGGAAGCACCCGAGGCTTTGGGAAGTACATCGAGCTGCAATTCGCCAAGCCCGCCGCCTTGGGCGACGACGTGCCCAACCCCCGGATGACCGGCGCCCGCCGCTTGAGTTGGTGGTGGAGCGGGGAGCGCGGAGACGGAGACGGAATGACAGTGGATGAAGACAGAGGGATGGACTAACCAGTGGGGTTTCCATTGATAGCTCCTTTTCAGAGGTGATTCGTGGTGTCACAGTGGTGTCCATGAACCACCCTGACAGTGGATCCTGGTAGAGGTTCCGGGTTGGGTGTTTTTTCCCTAAGCGACATGACATTTGTTTGGACAAAGGCAGAGGGGGCTCTTTTGATTATCAAATCAGCGATTCATATCACACGCTGCCGTTGGTCTCTCATGTCGTCACCCTGACGTTGCTACAGGCGGTTTTTCACACGTGGGCGAAGTAGTACTGTTTTCACTTCCCACCCAAAAGCTCATAGGCCCTCAAAAACTGCTACATGTTTCTTGGCCCCAAAACACCCATTTGCTGCTTTGGGGCCAAGCCTTCATGTTTTGGTACAGAAGATGTGTGACCTTTCGACGATCGGATCGAGTGAGCCACGTCCTTTTCCACCACACATGGAGTTACCAGGTCACCGAAGTCGACATGCGCAACCCACACCGGCACCGACCTGCTGAACAGCGGCCCCGCCCCGCCTTCCGCTCGGGTGGGCCCGAAGGCATCCACACCTATTTGCTGGAGAAAGTGCGCGTGATCCGACAACAGGAGGCCGGATGAGCTCGGCTCGGCGTTGGTCGTCCGGTGCTTCAGGGTGATTGGTAGGGCCGAAAGGAAGGGGGCATCCACTATCCAGGCGCTGGAAGAAGTCCGTTCCACCCTTCTTTTGGCAACATGGCTTGACTTTCTGGTTTGTGTCAAAAAAACGTGATCCTATAATAATAGAACCTTCATTCATAGTCTACCCTTCAAATCCATGCATTGCATAGCGACCGTCTCTGTGCGTTCCACACCTGGTGCCACCGAACCTTCCCCGCCGAGACCGCCTACCAACCCGCCGAGCCGCTCCGAACCAATTCACCGTCGACCGGGTTCCGCTCCGCGGCGGACGCAGGGCGAGCGGAGCTTCCACATCTTCTACCAGGCCATTGCGGCCGCCCAGTCCCAGGACCCCCTTCGCTGCGGGAGCGCAGGGAGGTTGGGGGGAGGGGAAGGTACAAAGGTGTCCGGGTGGTTGGCCCTCCAAAAGGTAAAGGGCGCGTATATAATAGAAATGCATGCAGTGTGGAAGGAGTTATTTTTTTTCGGGGGTGGGTGGAGCCACATGGTTTTAGGGGGTCTGTGTTCTTTGTTTTTATGACCTCCATGTTGCTTTTTGATCTTCAAGTTTGGGATCGCATCCTCGCGTCCTCGCGAGCTGCCGGTGAGAGAGTCTCAGTCTACTCTGAGTCTTCGCTGCCTCGGCCGCGGGTCCCGGGTTTCTGCCGTCCAGGACTCGGAGATGGAGCTGGAGGGGTTTCGAGGATTTGGGCTGGACACTTGGATGGGCACATGTTGGATGGTGTCCTTTCTTGGGGAGGATGGGTTGGATGGGTTTGGATGGATTTGGGGGCATCATCGCACGTGATTCTTTGGAAGGAGGACAGGGCACCTGTTAAAAGCATTTCAGGGATATGATATTGATCGAGCTTATATGTGTCTTGGAAGGGCTGATAGTTTTAACTGAAGAGGATGGGTTTGGGATTTGCATGGTCCTTCCTTTTGTTGCACGGTGTAAGCAAGATGAAGCAAAACATGAAACACATATCACATATATCATGCAATATCATACACCAGCACCCTGCAACAGGTCTCCTCTGGTAGCTTTTGGAGACTTAAAAGTGTCTGCTGGTATAGATATAATATATATATATATACTGACACATACTGCAAACCTTGGGTTGCTCAACTTGGACTTGCTCCATGGGAAGAAAAGTACTGGTCAATTGGAAGATGGCATCAGGACAAACCTCACGTGAGCAATTCATCCTTTCAGTAGATTTCAATGGGGAGACCCACGGCCGGTGCCGCCGCAGAAGCGAAAGACCAGTTCAGGGAGCTCTGATCCCAGACACTCCATGGGACTGCCATAGGACTACCTACATTGACCCCCAAAACCACCCCTGGCCTGATCGGCATATATGGCAGTCCCATGGAGTGTTTGGGGATGATCTTTGTTGAAGCTCTTGGCCACCCGTTTGTTCTTGGCAGAGGTGGGGAGCGAACCCGAACGAACTCGATCTATCCGAACGTTCGGTACCCCTGGTTTTCCGGGTCCGAACGTGACCTGGTCACTCTCCACCTCTGTAAGTTTTGGGTTGCTGATTGACGTCGACCATCTCGCAGTGGTGCACACGGAATGGCCACCTGACAGCCACGCCACCTGACGTCCACGGTCCATGGCACCTGAACGCCGCCGGTCCACAGGGGCCAGGAAGATTGACTGACTGCCCAGATGCTCCGTGGTTCACGACGCCCGACTCCTGGTCCCTCAACACCTAGCTAGGGATGGGTTTGAGATCCCAGACCCCTCCATATGAGGGTCCGACCCCTCCCGTGTGGGTGCAAAAACCCACAAATCTTTGCAGAAATTTGTGGATGGTATTTTTGATGCACTAACTTCGTATAACCCATTTTTGCTGACCCCCTTTCTCCACACACCCTCGAGGAGAGCCTTCATCCAGGTTTTGGCCCACAGCCATTTAGGTGAAGGCATATCGATGTGGGTTCACACATGATGGCGTTTTCCGAAAAGACCCGTGCGTTCGGTGCCTGTCAACCATCCTGGCACCAGCCATACTGAACAAACAAGAAAGGTCAGCATCCATCATCCAGGCACCTGACGTCGTGTAGCTCGAGCTGGGGAAAACTCCGAAAAAAGAATCCGACAAACCACTGGAAGTTGGCTTGTTGTTTGAGTATGTTGGCTCTTCCCGGACTGGTTTTAGGGACCTGAATTCAGTCTCTTCCCTTTTTCAAGACATGCTCACTGAAATGGAAGCACGGTCCCTGATGATCTTTCAACACTCTTCCCAGGGACCCAACGAATTGGAATCAAAACCTGGCGTTCCACTCCATGCGCTGTGGCCATCCATGGACTTCAGGCAGGTGCACCCAGGAACCTTGATGAGGAGCTCAGCCAATGGCAGCCCACTTTGGTCCTTTTCCTGCGATCACGTGCGATCCAGTCATAGGTGCGATAAAAATACCTGCTACCCTGGAAGTCCAGAACTTAAACCATCAGAGGTTCAGTGTCCCATGATAAAGATGGACATCTTCCGGAAAGCGCGCCGTCAAATGATGGCCCACTGTAAAATAGTGGTGGGCCAAGAATCCCTTTCAGAAAGCACGAAAACACGTTTCCCAAGCAGTTCACACGATGTGTGCTTCAGAGAGGCCGGCCGGCCCTGCAAGCAGATCAGGCCGATCAGGCACACAGGAAGTTTCCATATGTTTCGACATGCTTCCCAATCACTATAAGCGAAGCCAATCATTTGCTTCAGACATGAAACTAAGGGAAGGATCAGCTAGAATTGAATCCAAATCTGTAGTCTTTGAGCCATGGCGATGAGAGTTTCATTCCTGCAGCCGAGCGGTGAAGTCATTGTTCTTGAAGTCACGCCAGAGATGACAGGCTGGGCGCTCAAGCAGCAGATCAAGCTGAGACAGCCCTGGGACGAGCTCACTCGCGGCACTACAAGTGCGGAGATTGTTTTGGAAGACAACCAATTGCTGGCCAATGCTGCAACGGTATTGGACGCTGGAATTGCTGAAGATACTGCTTTGAGCATTGTTTTCAAACCAAATGTCGTGATATGCTCCAGCAAAGACGCAATTGCCAGTCTTGGCGGCATCATCGACTCAGAACTGTTACTTGTCGTCGAAATCCCAAGTGATGAAACTCAAGTTCATGGAAGAGCTTTTGAAGGTTGCGACACATTGGCCAAAGTGACCATCCCGAACTCAGTGACGCGCATTGAGGATTATGCCTTTGTAGGTTG